TTTTTCTCCGGTTCCTCTGCACTCGCACAAATGCGTAACTATTATTGGTTTTATTCAGCGTAAGAAATTACTTTTACGTATCGGATAATTTTCTTTCATTTTTTTATTTTTTTTTTTATTTTTACACAAATGATCACTGAAAAAAAACATCAGTAGCTCGTCAAAGTTTGGAGTGACTCCCTTCATTGGTCAAAGGGTTGTTTAACACCCTTATTTATCCCCGTATGAATTATTGTTCATGTGAGAAAAGAGAACACTCGTATTTGACAAACTATTTAATGGGCCTGATAGATTTTATTAGTTTATCTTTCTCCTTACAAAATGATGAATCTTCTCAACTAACCCTTTAATATTTTTTTTCTTAAAGATGATTTCTATTGTGTAACTACTACAGTAAAATCGCAAATTGGTAAATTTATGAGTTAAAATATTGATTTTCGTTTCAACTGTTGTATGTTCTTCAGTGTTAGCATCAGCTAGTTCACTGGCTAGCGGTTGCGATTCCACTGCCAGGAGAGACGTTTAATCACGAAATTATCATCTCTCACTTTCATCACCTGCTAAGTGGATCAGTGATGACCCCACTGAAGACGATATGTACACCGCCGTCGACACCTTTTGTTGCCTTGACTCTCATTTTCTTCTTGTGGACATGAAATTTTTCCCCCCCCCAGCCATCTCGCAGTTGAATTCCGAATGAATATTTTCGATCTCCGACTCGACAGACCCTGCAGATCCCTTACTTATATACCCCGCCAAGCGCCACGTGCTCTTGAAAGTACATATTATCGGATGCGTCTAGTGCTGAAAGAGAGAATAGATCTATTCTCTCGAGAGAAGGAAAAAGAAAGAGGGAATACCGTTTCGTACATATACATCCAAGTACAAAGTGTTGCTGATTTCAGAGACTTTAGCTCAATATAATTAATATGGTTGTGGCGTTATATTGTTAGGACATCGGTTTTTTCAGCACCCTATCGGTAGCTTCGAAATTATTTGTGACTCCTTTTATGACTTACAAATAATCATATACTTAAATTTTCCATGAGCATACCGCACTTTTCGAAGAAAATGAAATTATGCTTACCATTATTCCCATAATTGTTTCATGAGAAAGAAAAGAGGTGTTATCATCTTCTTGAGATGATAAAAAAAGTTGTACAGTAATTTCCGTATGTCTGTACATTTTGTACTATATGAGGTGCAATTACTACACACTCCCAGCATCTCTTGTCCAAGAGACGCTTTGTCAAAGAGCATCATCCCCCCAAAGCGAATCATGTATAGGTACTAGGTACATCGAGCACCTCTCACATTTCGTGCTTCACTCGAGAACTTGAACTCCGAGTACAGTTGTACAAGTATTGATGTAAAAAAATAAACCGAGCACATCACAAAATCACCAAAAAGTTGATGTAAAAAAAAAAAAAAAAAAAAGATTAGCCCACCCCCGGTAGTAGATCTGAACCACTTGCGCCTTTGCACGAAATGAAAAAGTAGGAAAAAAAAAGCTCAAGTCTGGCTGTCGCTTGCAGGTCTGCGGGCCCGAGTGACGTTGTCGCATACCTAGCCGTACAAGTATGTATGCAAGCCCGAATGCGACGCGAGAAACTAAAACTTTCAGCCCAAGTACATTATACGTATATGCAGCCTCCGTTTCCCCTCAGTTGGCGAACTTTGTTAATTCGATGTTACCATTGTTCGCGAAGGGAAGACTTATACATACCTACACTTGTATACATACATTACACAACGGGGAAAGAGAAAAGGGGCGAAAGGGAAAATAATGCGCTGGTAAGCAGCCGGTACACTTACGAGATTTACGGGCACAATTAGTATCCATATACTAACGCGAGCGTCGTGTTAATTGTTTATCGGTTGTTTTCGTAATTGCGACGATTACGCGATTAATTTTGATTGACTTGAACGCGCGGATAGCTTCCACACCCGCATCGTTTACTCGAGCGACCTTTATCGCGATCCGATAATTTGTGTGTACCATCTCGAGTTTCAAACGGAGCGTATACGAAAAATAGCAGAGAAAGAAACAATCGACGCGCATATGAGCCTCCGCGCCCACACACGTTCACTCGATTCCATCTGTAGATTATACCCATCAATCCGATCGCTCTCTGTCGTCACGCCTCGAATTCTCGGGCAAACGAAATTCCCCTCGTGTATACTTATGTATATCCTATATGCGTTATCCCTTTCGAGATAGTCCTACAATTTGGCCAATGAATTCCCGTGGGAGCACCTATACGCGCCTACTTTACATCGCATCGGAGTGGCGTGCCCATGAAACGCAATCCCTTTCTAATTTGGCTCGCATTAATTATACACGGCCACTACTAATATACCTACTGCCACTTTGCAGTCCTGCAGGTTGGCACCTCCATCGAACGAATAAGTACTCGGTGAGTGGCGTTGCTGTGCATTAGGGCTTTTCACGGGAATTTCCGAGTCCGGTAGAGTCCGATAATCTGTGATTTACACGAGAGGTGGAGAGAAAAAAGGGGGGCCTTCTTTTTTTGATCATAAATTAATTGTACCAGGGATGGATTTCTTTAAAAGAGAAACAAACCAAAAGTGCTTCAAATGGCTTGGAACTAACGAAGGGGGTGGGGGTGGAATTTCGAGCGGCTCGCGTGAGAGCATCGGTGAATGATCGTTATCGAGGAATCTATTGGCCTGAAACTGCTATCGCTACCACCTACGCTGGCTTCATTAGTTAAAACACCATCGAACGTAAGCTGATCCGCATTGCGGGGCCACTACTCATTTCGCGTCCGATGAGATGCTCCGTGGATCCGTTTTCTCACTAGTGCTGGTATTTTGTGATGTAACGATAACGCAAAGGGACAACAAAAAAATTAAAACTCCCTTGATATTTTCCAACTCTTTGCTTGAGCGCACGGCGTAATAATATTTGTTTTTTTTTTTGTTTTTTTTTCATTATTTCGTCGTTTTATTTACAATCTAGTGATAAATATCGTCGATTGGTCCCGATAACCGCGCAAACATTATTTGAGATCCACATTGAATTTTTTTTTTTTTTTCATGATAATTTTGCCTCAAAAGTGTAAAATGTAATAACAATGATTTAATAATTATCTCTTTATTTTTGTTGCAGGTGAGTCGACCCTTTTCCATCTTTCCAGCAGACTGTACGTGATGAATGACTTGGTAAATTTACGATGCATTAAAACTTTGAAAAAAAATACCTCGTTGGATACACTATGAATTTCAGTGTTTTCAGACTAAAAAAAGTATATAATCAATTGAGAGTGTGCCATTAAAAACACTTGGGTCAACATTATACTATATTCTCTACTTATCGTCCCATGAGTCTCAAATACGGGTATGTAGGTACTTAAGTCTCGCTCGACACCGAATTTCCATACAAGGCCAAAACGATCGATCTCATTAGACAACGATAGGACTATCTCGCAACGTCAAATTTTTTTGCACTAAAGTAATGAAATCTCATTACGGAGCTTGCGACGATTTTTATTATGAGTCCATGAAATGACAAATAAAAAACTCGACTCCGTAAAAGTACAAAAAAAAAAAAAAAAAAAAACGGCCACGGGAAAAGAGCAAAAAGCCGATCACGCGCCCCGATGGCAATAAAACAGCCGGCATTCCCTCGGTCTCCGTACAGACGAGGCGTAAAGTGACAGAGAGCTCCCCGGCGTCTCGAAAATCTCGGAAAAGGCGGGCGAGGATTTTTACATGGGCGTCGCGTAGAGCCGATGAAGTGCACACGACCGGGCCAAGAGAGTGAGCCGAGAAACGGTGCACCGGTGCGTGGGGTTGGCCAGGGCTGTGGAGGCCATGCACGTCGATATTTTATCGCCGACTTGTATACTATACCGCGACATACGTGCCCCTTAACCCACCCTTTTTTTTTTTTTTTTTTTTTTTTTTTTTTCCTCTTTATGGCCCATTAGCCCTCTGCCCTGCCCTCTGCACCATCTACTCGGTGTACATGAGCACCGAGGACACGTTTCCGACAAACTCCAGCTCAAACTAAAAACTGGGATGTACGATTGTACAGCATCGAGAATGAAACACTCCACCTGTGAGTACTTCTCGCTGAAAATTATCCACATGCATGATTCTGTTTGTCAAAGTGTCAAACGTACCCCGGTACACCCAAGTTTTGTTTTGTTTTTCATTGTAGTCCTGAAAGGGGGGTAGTTTTTACGAAGCGAAAACCATACGGGATTCACATCACGCGCGTAGCTCGATGCTCCCCAGCGTCACGCCGAAAGGGAGAATTGTAATTTGCTCTATACTTCAAAGGAGGAGCCGAGGGCTGCTGGCTCTCACAAATGCAGAAACGAATCGACGTGTATGCAACACGAGCCCATCAATTTCTGCGACGAAGCGAAATGGATCGTGATGCACTATGTTCTGCTTGTTGGAAGCGAAGAGGAGAAAATAAAAATAAACACGCCTCGACGTTACTTTGGATGTCTCTTTGTTTCGGTATTCTGTTACAAGTGTACGCGCGACGTATACCGTTTGCCAAGTAAGAGTTTCATCACCTGTACCTAGTGGCCCAATGTTTAGAAAAATCGCAGTAGTTCCGATGGGAAAAAAAAAAAAAGAAAAAAACATCAACTCAGTGTATCCATTAACGGGATTGACGTATAGCTCAAGAATAAGAATAATCGGAGGGCAGGTATAGGTAATGCAGCCTCGACGGCGCGAGTTTAGCCCGTACGAGGCGAAACGGAGCAATCACTTAAGCTCATCGGAAAACGACGGCTTAAACTATATACTCTGTTGAAAAAAGCAGGGAGAAGAGGTGTATACCCGCGGAGAGTCACGCTGCCAGATTTCAATGCGAATCTAGGGTGTATACGGACGAAGAAACGAGTTGTCTCCCTTCCCCAACAAAAAAATACGCCCGTCAAAGCAAGTGGTTCTCTTTATTTTGGTTACATGTATTTTGCGCGTCGTCGTTCGGTCGCCAGTATAGTAAAGAGGGTTCACTCGTAGCAGCAAACGGGGGGTAGGCACGGGTCGGCGCAGGGCAGCTCGCAAACGATCACGGGACAGCAGGGCTCGGGAATCGGGCAGGGCTCGCTCTTCTCGATGTACACCATGGGCCCCGAGCCGCGTCTCTTCTTCCTCGGCCCCGACGCCTTCTTCTTCTCCGACCCATCTAACCCCCATTGACCCCTCGTTAATTCACCACGCGCCAATCACGCCCCCTGGAGTGAGATCAAGAGTCTCGATTTTTACCTTTCACAATCTGGCTGGGCGTGCCGACCGACTTATCCGCCGTGCCCGCGTCCGTGTTGCTGCCCTTGTCCTTGGTCCGCTTCTTCTTCTTAGCCTCTTCCGGCTTGGCCTTGTTATCGTCCCCGTCGGTGCCGGTGCCGCAAGTCCTTGAGCACTCGCTCAGCCGGACCTGGTACTTTTGCTCGTCGGTGCAGGCGCACTCCAACTGTAGGGACGGGTGCGCCTTGAGTGCCGTGAGGGCCGGGATCTTCAGGTCGGGGCTCTGCTCTGCCTTCAGCTCGAGGCACTCGTACGGCTTGCTGAGGTTCCCCTCCTCCTGGGCGTAAAAGTGGAGCAGCTCGCCCCTGCTGGGCCGGTCGATCTCCGTGACCACGCAACCCCCCAGGTGGCTCAGCCGCACGTACAGCTCCACCTCGGTGCCCGGTTGACCCTCCTCCAGCTCGAACCTATCCTTCAAGGACCTGCCATGGGGGAGCTCTGTCAATTCGCGAAACTACCCAACTCTCGTTCCACCCCCGAAATTCCTTTGAAAAAAAAAGAAATTATAAAGGTCCCCTTGATCCTTTCCCGTGTATATGTGTGTGTGTGTGTGTGTGTGTGTGTGTGTAGGCTCGTGTGAATCCCCTCGTTAAAACCTCGAGATGGGGTCGCGCTCGTGGGCGAGGCGCAGGTAATCCCCGAGGTCGCATCTGGTCTTGAGCTCCTTGACGATGCCGTTGAAGAGGTCGTCGACGCCGACGAGGGCCCTCCCGACTTCGATCACGTGGCCGTGGCCGCGCGTCTCAAAGTACCGGGATATCTCCCGGCGCACCCTCACCTCGAGCTCCAGGCCCTCCTGGGCCGCGGCAAGCATCGACTCGGGCACCGAGAACACGGTCGACTTGCCCCCGTGGAAGGCCTGCTCCTCGCCGCTCGAGCCCCGGTAGTTCCTTTGGGTTGCGATTTTTCATAACACGTGCACGCCAAGTGATATGTATATATATATATATATATATATATATATATATATATATATATATGCAGTCGAGGTAACGGGGTGGGTGTGTTGTATATACTATCGTCGATTGGTCCCGATAACCGCGCAAACATTATTTGAGATCCACATTGAATTTTTTTTTTTTTTTCATGATAATTTTGCCTCAAAAGTGTAAAATGTAATAACAATGATTTAATAATTATCTCTTTATTTTTGTTGCAGGTGAGTCGACCCTNATATATATATATGCAGTCGAGGTAACGGGGTGGGTGTGTTGTATATACTTGTAATCGAGCCGGTTGGGCGCCACGTCGGTCCACTCGTCGTCGAGGAAGCGGAAGCTGACGATGAACTTGCTCAGGATAACCGAGTCGAAGGGGCTGCTGTGCGGGACGAAGAGCTGGAACGACAATGGCCCGTCGGTCACGGTGTCAATCCCAATCGGGGAGAACTAACCTTTTCCACTTGCACTTCGAGCATCAGTATTTGGGAATCGCGGGCTACGAGCAACGCGGACATTTTTTTTTTTTTTCTTTGGGTTTTTTTTTTTTTTTTTTTTGTGTTTTACGCGTTTTGCGATTTTTTTTTCTTTTTTAGTTATGTTTTACGCGTTTTGCGATTTTTTTTTTTCTTTTTTAGTTATGTTTTTGAGTTTTGTCCATGGGGAAATTTTAATAGTGTATCAAGAGCCGAAAATCGTGTGCTTTGGCATCGCCATTGTGTAACGGTGTGTACACACAATGTGTAGCGCGTGCGACGTGAAGTTTGTCTGAGATAAAAAAAAAAAAACAAAAAAAAAAGATCTGTATCTGTATCTATCGTCGTGGACGCGCAACGATAGCTGTGTGTAAAATGAAAAAATTACGAAATAAGCCAGAGTCCGAGAAAACGCGTAAAAAACGGAACAATTTGCGAGGATATTATATCCTTGTTATCATTATTAGCGCGGCCACGGCAGGCAAAACATCTCGTCGTCCTACGACCACCAGTTTATTTTGCCCAACCCCCTAATTGGACGTCGCCAAAGTCGAGACTTCAATTTAGAGAGCTGGAACGTATTTCTTGCAAAAATGAAATGGCGCGTAATTTTATGTAGCGCAATGAGTCTTATCCTCGCTGTTGTTTTTTTTTTACCATGAAAACAAGTGAGGTGCAACATGTCCCTCCGAGTCTCTATGGCGCAAAATTTTCCCAAAAGACGCCGAGATTGGCGCGCATGTTGCCTCTACGGTGGTCCAGACCTGGCTTCCCCGGGTAATTCGCATTAGGTCTCGAGTGCACGCGCGCCGATGAAGAATCACCCGCTCTCCCGTGCCTTTGATTCTTGATTGGCTCAAAGGAGTGATATTATATGCGCGCGCCAAGTGTCTGGCAAGGAGAGGCAAAGGGGCCGTGCGGGCGCCAAGGTGGATCGATTTTTCGACCCGTTGCTCCTTTATACGTATGAAAATTGGACGCAAAAGCAATTTACGGCCAATATTGAATTTGTTTAATCTTCGCGGGGGAGCAAAAGATTTTCTCTTTTCTTTTTCAACGTCGTAAATCACGAGGTAATGACGAAAAAATAAATTCACATTGCAACAATTTATTTCGAAAGTTTCCACCACGCGACTCCGTTAGGCTTTGCTTCGTTTATCTCGGGTCAAAGTCTCGTTTCGTAACGAAGATAACGTCTTTGTTCTTTCCATGAAATTTCCATCAAATGTATGAAGCAATGGCACAAATCACGACGATACACCCACGTAACGATTAGATTTGTACGAGTTAAAGTGTATACGGCACGTGTTCAACGACAACGCGATTGAGACAAAAAAAAAAGACAAACAAAATCGTTTCGATAGCCAAAGCGTAGAACAATGCGCGTTGTTGGGAAGATAATGGAGAAGATAAATAAAAGTGAGCCGTTCCTAGAATAATATGTGTATACCGAGATTACGGCTAGACGGGGGCTAGGCGTATCGATTTTACGATCGATCGATAACTTTGACGGCATAAAAGTTGGGACGAATTTTCGACTGGGCTCAGTACAAACCCGAAGCCTCGACATGTACGCCAAACTACTCGTACTCGCCCTCGTGGGCGCATCCTTCGCCTTGGTAAGTAAATTTGATGTTCTCCGGGCAACCCTTTTTTTATTTTCGGTTAATTTGATTGCAATTATTTCTCGCCCAACAGGCCAATCCGGTCGAATTTGTCGAAGAGCACGAAGTCAGCCGCACGGATGTAAGTTTCCAAATAAAAAAAAAAAAAAAAAAAAAAAAAACCCCTTACCACAGCCATATACGTATATTAACGTTGGGATATTTCAGGGCAAAGTGACGGAGGCGCTCAAACAATTGATCAACGAGCTCAAGGGGCGCGTGGTGGAGCTCGAAAAGAAGGCAAACGAGGTCATCGAGGAGCAGAGGAAAATCTGGGCGGCTCGCATCGAAGAAGCCAAAAAGATAAGCCAAGAGGAGTACGAGAAACTGAAGAAGAGGGCCGAGGATGTCCTCCAAAAACTGGAGAAGACGTACAAGAAGAGCATCGAGGTGTTGAAGCAAAAACTCCAGGAGCTGCTCGAGAAGGTCGGGGTGTTGCCTGGGAACGAAGCCGCCTTCAAGAAGGGTGTAAGTCGAATTGACGATAGCGTGGGATATTTAATGTTTTTGCGAGTAAATAAGTAATCGTGGCTTTGCGTATAGGGTGGGGTTTCGGAAGGTATCGAAGCAGCGGTCGGACACTTGAAGGAGCTGCTTCAGAATCTGGAAACTCAGGCGAAAGCAGCCATCGAAGAGCAGAAAAAGATTTGGGAAGCTCGTCTCGAGGAGGCCAAGAAGGTGAGCCAAGAGGAGTACGAAAAAATGAAGCTCAAGGCCAAGGAGGCGCTCAAAAAAACTGAGGAGGCCTTCAAGAGCGTGGTCGAGAAATTACGCAAGAAAATCGAAGAGCTCCTCGAGAAAATCGGAAAGAAGCCCGAAAATTAACTCGAGTTGGGCCTTACCTCGCGAAGATTGTATAGGACATTGAATGTATGTGTAAATTAAAAGAATTAGCACAAATTTTATAAGCTATCCGATCAACTCACGGATGAGAATCAGGGATCTGCTCGAGAAAATCAATGGCAAACTGGAACTGGATTACACTTTTTTTTACCTATTTTAGATTTTTTTTTTTTTAGTCGTACGAGGATGCCTGTAAATGAATAAATTGAATCACAGCTCTTAACTTGGACTATTTTCCTATGGCACTACATTCATACACTCCCAATATTAATGCCACAAATGCAACGATATGTAGCCGTTATCAATTAAATTTACTCAACCTGAATATGATTAATCAGTTGTAAGATCGATAACCTCCATACGACTTACGCAAAGTGAAGTGTGTAGTAAAAGTTACGTTTGACAAGTGATATCGTTCATCTTTATTTTTCATGAAAAAAGTCAAACGTATACTGTTTTTTTTACACGATGAGCAATCAAAAAGAGATGTGGCAAAACTTTTTCGTTTGAAAAACAAAACTCCCGCAAACTCGAACCTTTCAGGTAGCAGGTCGAAAAATCCAATTTTCATTGGATTAACTTGTGAGGAGAGAAAGGCCCACGGAGTTTAAAGACTTTGCCGAGGTAATCTCCTACGATTCATCTGTTTTTCCCTCATTCGCTCGGCCCCTCCTTTTTCCTCCCCCATACCCTTCTTTCCTCCAGTTAACTTTCGATTCTCCTCCTTGGCAGTACACGCACTTTTCCACCCCCTCAAAAAAAAATCAGCCCCGCAATCTCATGCCCACTGACATAATTATCGTATACCCATCAACTCGCAAAAATCATCGTATTTGTTTCAATCGAGAAAGTATCATTTGAATAACGCGACAGCAAACATCGCTATTATCTCGATGCTCGTAGATTACCATCTGTCTGCTCAAGGTTTTTTTTTTTTTTTTTTTCATGCAATTCTACTCGTATACATATTATATAAAAGAACCGGCCAGTCGCCGAGTCGGTCGCACTTTCGTCGAGTTGATCACAAAGTAAAGTCCCCTCGAAATGTTCACCAAAGCTCTGGTCCTTGTGCTCGTAGGCGTGGCCTTTGTCACGGTAAGTGATTATTTTTAAAAGGAAATCCTCTCTTTTTTACTCTTTATTATCGCTTACATCTGTGGAAAAACTCTCGCTGTTTGTTGTCCATAGGCCACTCCGGTCAAACAGACGGATGTCGAGAGCAAAGGCATCCCCAATGAGTACTTGGACATCATCAATGAGCTGGACATCGAGGACCAAGTAAAATTCCAAGTAAATATCCGTGCACTTTGACGTACAAGACATTTTTCTGCCATAGCTAGTAATGGTATTTCTCGGTGTTCCCGTAAGGTACAGGCGCACGGCTTGATAACAGCGATCATCCGAGATAAGCTGAACCAGCTGGAGAGGAAGATCGACGAAATCGCGGAGAAGGCAAAGATGGTCGTCGAGGAGCAAAAGGAGATGTGGGAGGCTCGCATCGAGGAGGCGAAGAAAATCGGCCAGGAAAGGTACGAGCAGTTGTTGGAACGAGCCAGGGTGGCCATCGGCCGGCTGGAGGAGGAGTTCAAGGCTAAAATCGACGCCTTGCAGATGAAGCTCAAGGAACTCATCGACAAGCTCAGAAGGCTCGGTGGTATACAGTATTATTGATCACGGATTCGATGCACGCCCTTTGTTCATGAGTCGTTGAAAAAACAAAAAAAAAACAATAGTACTTTTACAACAGTTTCAACGAGTGTTTCATTGACTACCAAAACACCCAATGACTTTTATTCAATACAATTATTCTTGTTGCGAGTGAACTTTCGTCCATACAAGAAGATGATTATTTTTAATTTTAATCAACCAAAGCTCAGTCCTCCTCCCGGGTTTATCTTATTAAACTGATAAGCTTGGATTTGGAACAACAACAATATTTGATGATGAAACAAAAAAAATGCCATTAATGACCAACTTTTTCGACAAGCCCCTATGAGCATCCGAAACGCAGTAAGTAAGCAAACCTCAATCTAGCGCTTTACGACATTATGTACAAACTCCTTCGTTGGTACTACATACACGAGAGAAGAGTCGAGCTTGCGGCGTCGTATAACTTCTCCTTCGACATGTATGTGTATATGTGTATGTATTACCCACGTACACAGGTACACACGGATACACGTGCAAAGCGACCGCGAGCTGTGGCCTATACCCCCGTTCGCCCGATAACTAATCTCCAATGAAATCGCTGCGCTCCGTCAGATATTGACCTTAGTCGGGCGCTAGCTCTTCCCAACGGAGCTTACGTAGTGTGTGCACACTAAAGTTTGCCCTCTTGGCTAAACGATCGGTTATTACCGCTTGTTTACCGTCGAATTCGACACTCAAAAATTGATAAGAAACGAGAATCTGTATGCTCGTCTGTAGCTACGAAAAAAAAAAAAAAAAAAAAAATAGTCATATATACTCTTTCCGCTCGACGAAGCGCAATGGCCATTGGGTATAGAGCTGCACGAGAGACAGAAAAGAGCGGAATCCAGGCTCGAAAAAAAAAAAAAAAAAAAAAAAAGGAATCGCGATCGAAGCGTGGGCCCCCGAGATTGAAGAGAAGGATATAGATCGACGGCATCGTTTCCTCGGAAACTACAAAGAGACGCGCAGGTAATAGGGTATGGAAGTTAGAAAAGTCCGAGAAAACACTGCACGAGGAGGAGAAGAAAAAAAAAGAAAGAAAAAAAAAAACACAAATGCGCGGAAAAATGTTTTTTAACTCGACGTGCCACTGCTTTATACATGTGTAGGTACATCTTCCAATTCAGCTCTCGCTCGCGGCGTTTCTCGTTCGCGTTCCCTGCGTGTATATGCACGCGTGTATACGTAAACGCTTGGATGTAAATAATACGCATACCTTTGCGAATGGCACGGCAAAAATGTTTGAACAAGTGCAAAGGAGCAAAGTGACGTACACGTGGTGGAAGGTAACGGTCTGATGGTTTTCTCCTTGTGATTTTTCGTCCCCTCGGATGAACCACTTCTATACGTGTAGCTATGTTTTGTACTCGTGTTTGGTATAATATACCGATCCACGATACGAATGCCACAATGGGGTTTGGCACCAAAGCACATCATCGTCAAACAAGAGGGTTGTACAGAGACAAAGGGCACAAGCTTGATCAGATCAGCGAAACACCATCAGCTGGAAAGCTCGTGTGTTGTGGGAGTAAACTAATCAGCCGAAATGTATACCGTGAGAAATAATTTGTATTAAAACCCGATGCAACGGGAGGATATAATGTACGAGTACGGGTGTAATAACCGCCGTCGAAGATGAAAGGAAGCGAGACAATGGAAAAGGGAGAGGCTTCGCGTGGCCTTCCACCGGACATTGTTCAACAAAGCTCGGGACGACCTCTCAAGTGGGGGGTCTCTCACGTGTATGTGTATCGTCAAAGCTCGGTGTATAAGGAGCTCGAGGGAGATATCGTTTCACGCATTTAACTTCCATCATACCCACGAACTAACCATTAATTCTTTTTTTTTTTTTTTTTCTTTTTTTTCCATACGCAGGTGCTTGTTTTTTCCAAGCACTGGGGGATGCGACTAATTACCATCAACTGTCTCCCCGAGACGTTGCCGCCCCGTTGATCGACTTTTCCTCGACAACACACGACGCCGACGAGGAAATTATCCCCTCGTTTATCCGGTTGACGCACCCGCGGCATGACAATCTTCCGTTGTGAGCCAAGTGTGCCTAACGCGAGTTTGACTGGCTTGCCCCGCTGCTGTTATCGTACGGGCAATTTAAGGCCAAGGGTGTAATTTTCAATTGCGCTCGCACGATTTCAGCGTCTGCGGGACGTGTGGGCTTTCGTTTAATTGCACCCGGGGGGTATGATCATGTACTGCGGTTGGTAAGAGGTGTTTTTTTGCTACTTGAAACAATATTGTTAAAAAAAAAATAAAAAAAAAAAAAAAAAACTACGGTTTTTACGGGTTTACGTTAATATATCATTATTCCGTTACATTAGGGTTTTTCAATGAATCTTTGTCTGTTCGATTCCAGGGTGTGGTTTAGATTAATCTGATGAAATTTTTAAAAATTTCACACGTGCAAGATCTAATCGTTGAAAAAAGCTTTTGAAGAAAAAATCTCAATGTCCGTTGGATAAATATCTGCTTTTAGTTCTGAAAATTCACGTATACTTATGGGCGTGTGTTTTACACCAAATGTCATGTTTTCAATTAAAAATGTTCAATTACAAGTCCAAAGCTCTCGATGTCGGACTTACCTTGACGAAATCCAGCGTTTTCGCCTGAGTGAACTTGCAAGGGCAAAAATCCCAACCCACGCCAAAAACCCACCTGGCAACTAATCATGGTACTCTTACCCTTAAAAAAAATATATAAATGATCCAACTCCGCATGAAAAAGACACGCACACTCGCGTTGACTACTGCCTCGGTGGAATGTGCGAGAATCGTTCATAGTGAAAGAAGCCCCCAAGCTTCGTCTCTCCGATGTCCGCACTTACGTGCATATAGAAAAAAAAAGCGCGAAATCGACCCAAGCGCTCTCAAGCGTTGCGGAGGCCACGATTGCCGTGTACGTATCGTTCGTGAAATTGCAGCGCTACATGCGCGAGTGTTTGTGTTTTTCCTCCTCAAAGTTCGATGTCCACGTGCGAGGGAGGGGCCCATTTCACGGGGGAGAAAGTATCGACTTTGGGAGGATCTGGAGCGTGTGGTACGGGAATTTTAATTGGGACCACATACACGTGCACTCTCGGGAGCAATCGGTGAGTGCCCACTGGGCTGTGCAAACTTTTCCTTGGAGAAACTCGTACGTCGAGTGAAGTCGCGATCGAATGGGCCCGTGGTTTTCGCGTTTCTCGTGTACAGATGACAAAATTATTCATCCCTTGTATTTTACTGTGAACAACAATCGTTGACCATATTGGGTTGTTGCAGTGGTGATGTGAGGTGGCGTCGAAACATGTGCGAGTTCGGGAGATTAAAGCTTTCAAGGAATGAGGAGTCGGGAGGAAGAGAAGCACGGCCAAACGAATGGGAAAAAGAGCAAAGCCCTTCTTGGGTTTCGTTGTGCAAAAATCGAACGAAGTTTAAAAGCTCCAAGATATTTTGACAGGGAAAGGAGTAGTTTGTGGCTCTTTGACATATTTTTTAACGGCACTCAAGCTCAGTAGGGAAAAAAAAAGAAATTATTTTCATGTCAGATTACGCGTAGTTTGGTCGGTGAGCTGTAACACTCGTAACTAATACACGGAGCGTATAGTGTAAACCGATGCCATTTACGTTTGAATTAATTTAGAAAATAAATTCGTCATTTGTTTATTTGCTTGATATAAAAGAACCGCGTAAGCATTGTTAGAGCAACGTTAAATACACACAATCGTTCGTGAAATCGTTTGCTCTGCGTAGATTTACTTTTACATCCGCGTGGGTACCATCAAAAAAGTAAATAACAGTCCCGCCGCAACGATCGGATCGACAACGTCGGTTGTTTGTATTTTGCAAAGTTCCACACGACGGAAGCGTGTATCGGCGATCCCCACTGTGTTACGGTTATCCTCGATCGGCGCGCAAAACACTGTAAGATCAACAGATCGTCAGAATGAACGAAAGTTACTTTGTTATGAAATATCGATGCGCTCGTGCAATCAAGCAAACATTGAGCGCTCAAACAAACGCATCCTTGAAGCTGGTACAATTGATTTATCTGTGGATCTACGATCAACGCGGTGAAAGAAAAAAAACGTGCGCAACATCGTCCTCACGCGTGGGTGAACGCGAGTCTAATAGGCCATTCGAGCACAGACGCACTCGACAAAAGTCGTTCCAAAGACTCGTCGAACGAGGCGCAGGTGTACATGTGTATACAAGGTAATCCCCTGGAGTACTAACTTATCTTCTCGTGTACTTGTGTATACGTGTACCACGGGATATATGTAGAGGTGTACGTATATAAGTACTGGCTAAACTGTCGGTGGATTAGAGAGCGCGACTTTGGCCGACGGCTTAAGACACCTCAAAGCGAACAAAGTGGCGACAAACAGGAGCTCGCCTTCCCTGGGGGGGGGG